TGTTGAAGCAGCCAATCAGGGCCAGGGAGGGCCGTATAAGAAGGGCTTCTCAATATAGCAGGGGTAGTCCCTCCCTGAAGGGTGAAGGAGGAGGACACTAGCTAGAGCAGTGACGATGGGTGAGATGCCACCTGAGGAGGGCGTGCTGGCGACCTTGAGCTAATTCCCAGAACGGCCAGCAGGAGGCGCTGTGGTGGCAAGTGAGGTGCGCCATTACACCCCCACAGGCCTTGGTTTGCCCCCTCCAACTTTACATAGGTCTATATGCTCCATTCCCCCTCCCCCCAGGCGTTGCAGGATATTATATAATCACATAATGTTCTATATGCTGACACAAATTTGCTCCCCCTCCCTGAATTTTTCTGAAATGACACCCCCCTAATGGGAGCCATATAAATCCCCTACATATATTTAATGGACCCTAAATGCTAGAACAAGAGACAGAGTCTGTCCTACTGTTGGATGGTTTTATGCCCAGAATTTAGGTATTTTTAGTAATAACAATGAATCATAAATACTCTTAATTTAATAGATATTTTAAAATATCAGTGAGCTCCTGGTTTGCTTGGCTTCACCATGCCCCCACTGCCCTACAAACCTTGCATCTCGTGCTAGGCCTAAGAACCAGCCTGTGAAGCCGACGGGACCCAAAAGAGAATTGCGTGCTTCTATTTTCAATATCCAGGAGGAAGGACTTAACAAAAACTAAATGCAGGGTACTTAGATCTTACAAGCATGTCCAGCCTCAATCACCTAAGGGGTTACAATCAGATAAGAACATTTGCTTTTTATATATATATATATATATTTATACTCTGATTCTTAACTTGGCTTATCGTTTTATTTTGTGTTTAGTTAGAGAGACCGATGCTGCTGGGCAATGCGGCCTTTCAAATTTAAACCACTAGAGGGCGAGATCGAACTTCCATCCTGCCATTTGATGTGGGTCACCCAAACAAAGTGGGGGATTTTTGCTAAGAACCTGGTGCTGAAAGCCGACCCTCTACACACACTAGGCTGAGCAGACAGCAAATGTGAAAAGTCGGGACAGGGGGTGGGGGGTAATAGGAACCTATATAAGAAAAAGACCCAAAAATCGGGACTGTCCCTATAAAATCGGGACATCTGGTCACCCTAACACACAAACACACCCCCATTGACTTCTGAACAGCTGGTTGTTGAGGGCTCTAGTCATGCTCCCGGAGTATTTTTAATAACGGAAGGGGTCTAAAATCTAGTCACTAGAATTAAAGGGACATGGTCAGCTAACTTAGAATCAAAACATAGGTGTGGGGTCAAATGTTGGCCCCATTGAAGTCAGTGGGAGCATTGCCAGTGATTCAGTGGGGGCAGGATTTCACCCCTAGTGTTTAAAAAAGAAAGGGAGCAGGCAGATGACAGGTGGATAGAAATTCCAGCATGAACGGTTTGAATTTTTTTAGTGCTGCAAACAATTTAAGTAGCAAGGTTAGATCTAAGCGTCCCCCTGCATAAACAACTCAGCACGGTGCTAGTGCCGGAGAGCCAGCCAGGATGTGACACGGACTGTACAGGGCCTGGCTTTGCTGCAGAGTTAATTTGATCCGGATTAGCCCAGCTCGGGTGCGTGCAGCCAAGCTGCAAAGCCCAATCCCGAATTACTGTGTCCTCACTGGTGCTGCATTTCCCTTATAGCATAGGCACCAACTTCTGCTCCTGCCGGTGGGTGCTTGACCCTGCTCTGCCCCCAGCCCCGCCCCGACTCCACCCCTGCCCCGCCCCCACAAGCCCCTGCTCCACCCCCATTCCAACCCCTTCCCCAAAGGCCCTACCCCCTCCCTGCCCCTATTCCGACTCCTTCCCCAAATCCCTGCCCTGGCCCCGCCTCTTCCCCTGGGTACGCCATGTTCCTGCTCCTCCCCTCCCTCCAAGCACACCGCCAAACAGCTGTTTGGCAGCGGCTGGGTGGGAAGCGCTGGGAGGTAGGCGGAGGAGCAGGGACGCGGCACGCTCAGGGGAGAAGGAGGAGGTGGGATGTGGGGGCAGGGGGAGCTTGGCTGCCGGTGGGTGCAGAGCACCCACTAATTTTTCCCCAT